AAAAAAAAAAAAAAAAAAAAAAAAAACACCACTGAGGCAAGGTCCTTTTTTTTTCTTTTTCTTATCAGATAATTCAGCTTATCCATGGGATGAACCTTCAAGTTGATGATTCGGCCACTGACAGGAAAGTTCAACATGATAATTACGAGGAGAACAAACCGAAAAGGGAAAAAAAAAAAAAAGAGGAACACTACTAAGAACTGGGTGGGGTTTAGGTTAGGAGTCAGGGTTAGGTTAGGGTGTCAGTCCGCATGAGCGGTGTGAACCTCTTCAGGTTCCATGGGGGTTGTGTGGGTTCCTGGGGTGTCTTCAGATGTCTTGGGTACCACCTTGGTTTCCCGATCCAGAGGTTCACCGATGGTTGAACCCATACTTGTCCCGCCCTGGTCCTGGTCTGATCCCGCCTCTCATGCATCCTATAGAGTGGTCGTAGCAGGACGGGTCCTACGTACTTATGATGCCGGCAGGCGGGCCCCCGTTAAAATCTTACGATGCCTGCGGGATGAGATTCATCCGGGATAGTGCCTGGTCTGTCATACCCATTGGAGAGGTCACTTAGGGGTACACATCAAGGGAATTCCTCCCGGTAGAAGACTCATCTGGGAAGGGTAGGGTGGTTGTCGTACCGTTCATAGACGTGTGGTTCGCCACCAGAGTCTGTGAGGTTGATGCAGGTTGGAAATAGCCCAATCTGCTCCGGGTCGTCTCTGAGTAATCAGGGTGTTCCTCTATGGTAGCAGTCAGGGGTCTGTAGTTAGATCCTTGGCACATTGCCAGTTTGGGAGCCTTGGTCTGGTTAGGCTAGGTCTAGGTAACCAGCTATAGGGGCTCGACTTACGACAGTTAAAAAAGGTAACACAGTTAAAAGTGTAGTCTCCATGGTTAGGTGTCCTAAAAAATGTGGAACCTCCAAGTGACCCCCCCACTGGTTAAACATGCAAATCAGACACTTCCCGAGGCATAGAGCCCAGCCGCTACTACCACATGGATCTTTAAAAAAAAAAAAAAAAAAAAAAAAAAAAAAAAAAAAAAAAAAAAACTGGGTCTCCAGCATAGTCCACTTTACAGAAGTTGACAAATCCACGAACTCCAAACAAAAGAAGAAAAAACTACTTTGTTTTTCCGGGCGCCCGGGCACCCAACTTGTGCCCTGATACACGCCCGGTTGGCTGGCTGGGCATGACCCCCGAGCAGGGTTCCGGGCAGCCCCAGCGCAAAAAAAAAACAACGAAAGTAAAAAAAAATCCAGAAAAAGAAAAAATGTTGTGTAGAATTGCAATTTAAACAACTTTTTTTTTTTTTTTTAAGAAAATCATTTAATATAAAACCGGAAAACGGGCCCGGCGTCCCTCACATGAATTCTGTAGCCAATCCAGACTGGAAGACGCACTTCCAGCCAGTCCCATCCCCAACCACGGACCTCCCACAGTGAAGACGCCTGTCTTCAGCCCATCCCGTGCAGAACTCTAGTTGCAAACCCTAATCTATGTTAATACTTAGGGCCTCGTTAGACCCTCCTTGAAAATCCTCAGGAATGTTGAAAGTTATGGTTACACCGCGTCCTAAAAAACAAAAGTCCTTGAAAAAATGTGAAAACGCTCCCAAGAGATTTCCTTGGGTCCCTCGGAGTCCCCAGCCATTGCGTCCTTGGATTCAAGGGGTCCTCGAGAGGTCCCTTGGGCTCAAGGATCCGCGATAGACGGGCCGTCGTTGAGCATGCGTCGACACGGAAAGTTTCTGTTTTTGCTGGTGCACATGACGTCTGTGGTCCATCGGGCGGACAATATCGGCTTCCAACCGGCGGCCTTGTGGTGTTACTGTTCGCCCACGGAAAAGATCCCCCTCCTCCGCACGCAACCACAGACTGGAGAGCTGAAGCACCCGAATGTCATGGCAGCTCCCCGGGTAACCGACGAAAACGTCCGTGATGCGCAAGTCGAGGTCTACCACCACCTGCGCTACAACGGAGAAACGATGTTTGCGGTCGAAGTAGTTCTCGGAAGGAGCGTTCGCCGGTTTGTCGACGTAAGCGTCCGTGCAGTCTATGCAGCCATAGCAGTTGGGAAAGCCCTTCGCCTCGAAGGCGCGCAGAACAAGCACACGACGCCTCCCAGCAGGCCAGACGATCTTGTCACCGTACACACTGAGGAGCGCCCTCGTAACGTCCTCCACTGCGATCAACCCGGATGTGCGCCCTATTCCGAATGAGGAAGTGCTGCTCTCGTACGTCTCCCCGCTTGCCCATCGGTACAATGCATATGCGATGATGTGATCCGGCTGCAAAGGGACCCTGTAGAACGTCACCCGCCGCTGCAGAAGAGAGGACAACGCCTCCACGATCTCCATGAACACCCTGGGGGACATCCTCAACTTTTCCTTGAAGTATTCGGTCGACGCGTCGTCTGTCTTCCGCAGATCCTCCCACGTACCACCCGTCCTTCTTCTCATCCACCACCTGGGAGTCGCCCGTGGCATCACCCCGGATGACATGGCGACGCAGAACTGAAAAATGGATTCGGACATGGAGACGCAGTCTGGCGCCTCCATCACGTGCTGGATGAGCTCACGCTGCCTGTGAATAGACACTCTCGTCCTCAAGCGCGCCGTCGTTCTCTTGATGCGACATCGCATGGCCACCGCCGACAATGCTGCAACTACCGCAATTCTCTCCACCCTGCTCAAGGTGTTGGCGCGAACCGCCTGTGACGCGTGGTCCAACACGAAGCCCGACGTCGCCTTTGCGAAGACGCACTCGAAACGGACGGCGGGACCCTCTTTCCACACGGACGTAAGCGGCGCTCTCAGGACGACACCTCCTCGTGCACGAACGACGGGCGATCTCAGGTATGGCGAGCCACCGGTTCGTCGCCGTCTGCGGGAGGAAACTAGAACCCGCAGCACTTCACGCGCTCCAACGTCGTCACCTTTTGCGCCGCGCCAACTGACGCTCGGATGAACGAGTCGCCAACAGCGATGGGCGCCGCCAATCGTCCGCGCAGACATTTCCCACTGTGGTACCTTTAGGGGTGATCTCCCACGCCGCGCACCGTGGGAATGAGCAAAGGGTTTGAAATTCGAATTTCAAAAATGAACCTTCACGCCTCTTTTCGCAGCTCAGCATTCGTAGGCTCCTTGCACCGCCAGTGGACCACGCCTGAGGACGAACGGACATCCCACCGCGAAGACGGATATCCAACCCCGTGACCTCGTATATGCGTATGAAATTGGCGGTGGGAAACCTCCAAGGTTATTCCTTGGGACCCTTTCGTTTAGAAGGCGGTGTAATGACGCCGCCGAGTTCCGTGAAATTTTCCAAGGACTTCGTCCTAATTCCTGAGGATTTTTCAAGGAGGGTCTAACGAGGCCCTTAGAATTTAATCCTATTCCAATGTATAGATTAATTCTATATTATCAAAAACAATCACAAAAATTCCTGACCTATTCCCTGATACAATTACCGTAATAATCCCTAACCCTAAATTATCTACAAAAGGTCACATCAGAATTCCTCATGGAATCGGAGAAAAAAAAGATAATAACAAAATCGCACTAAGGCACCCCTCTTTAAACCCCCTTAGCCTCTTTAAAACAAATTTATACCCCCCTTCCCCCCCCTTGACGACCAACTCTCAAAAAATGAAAAGAGCCCGGGCTCCTCTGGGAGAGCACAGAAAAGCAAAAAAATAAATAATAATAATAATAATAATAATAATAAATTTTTCTTTTTGGCACGCCTAAGTACCCCGGGCATCACGCCCGGGTGCCTGCCCGGGCTTGAAAATCTTCCTAACAACAATCGCTGCACAGGGGGCGCAACGCTACCGGGAGCGCTGCGCCCCGCCCGACGCTACGGGTTCATGGAGATGGTGCGCGGCGGCGATGGTGGCCCTTCCTTTTGAAGCCCAGGCTCTTAGCGCACGCGCAGGAGACCGCAGGTGCTTGCCCACTCCATGTCACAGGCTGACGTGGTAGTTGGTCTGACTCCCGGTGGCGTTTAGTCTCTGGGAGTTCCACGTGTCACTCCATTGCCGCTGTGTTGCTGCACGTGGCATTTGGCCTGAGAGGCGTTGGCTATGTCGATGTCTGTGGAGTATAGTGGAGTAAGCCCTAGGGACTCTGAAGTGTGAGTGATTACAGTAACGGTCTGGCATTTGGGAGCTGCTCGCCATCATCCTTGTCATCCATTACTATCAGGTTGTGAAGCTCGTCATTAGGGTGTCCCGGTGTTGTCCATCTTTAGGGGCACAGCTTGGACGTCATCATGTACAATCAAGGCGGTATCAGGAGCGTTGTTCATTATCAAGTTGATGTTCGTCATCATCATCACCAAGGTTTGCTAGCATCATCAGGACGATAGTCGTCATCATCAGGATATTTGTCATTTGGGAGCTGCTCGCCATTATTGTTGTCATCCCTATTACTATCAGGTCGCGAAGCTCGTCATTAGGGTGTTGTCCGTCTTTAGGGGCACAACTTGGACGTCATCAAGTACAATCAAGGCGGTATCAGGAGCGCTGTTCGTTATCAAGCTGATGTTCGTCATCATCATCACCAAGGTTTGCTAGCATCATCAGGACGTTAGTCGTCATCATTAGGATATCATCTGTGTCGTTTTTCATCACCAACATGTCATCATCAAGGCACAGGTCGAAATTTTCAGGAGGTTGCAGTTATCGATCAGCAAACGATACTTGTCATCCAAGTATTGGTAATTGCTCGTCATTCTAATCATCATTACATCTCTGTGTGGCTTTTGTCATTACTATCGTCATCATTACTGTGTTGTTTGTCATTACTGCTATCTGTAGCATCACCATCATCATCACAATTAGTTTCATCACCATCATCCTTATAAAATAGTTCCCATAACCGTACTCCTCATTAGTGGGATGTCACTGATATCATCCGCAGGTGAGTTTGCTCGCCAATATCATCTTTAAAATTTCTAGTCTTAGGGTACTGTTCTCGGTCACCCATCCAATCACAAGACATCAATATCATCATCGTCATCACCATCGGTAGCATTATCATCGAAAGTACTATCATTATTATCACCGTCATCCTTATAAAAAATATCATTAATCCAATCCCTAATTAGGGGGTTATTTCTGACATCATTTGCAGGTGAGTTTGCTCGCCAATATTCTCCCTATAACCCTATGTTTTAGGGCAGTGTTCTTCTCTGCAATTATAATTTCTTCTGACACGTTTATCATGATCTTCTTTTTCTCACTCTCTTAAGTGTTTTCATCCTGGGATTTCCATCACAAAACCTTACTCACATATACACTGCTCATAAGATCTTTCTCCGGGTTAATTGGCCGTTTCATTTGATGGGTGTGCTTCAGTCGGGATATTGTGGTCACGGTTCGTACTCTTGGGGGAAGGGTGGGGGTTGGTATTGGGGAGCCTTACTTTACAGGGGCGCCGCAAGGTGGGAGGTGGCAGCCCTGTCGGGGGTGGGGCAGATTTGTGGTTTTGTCCTTGTCTGGGGCCGGGGTGGGAGAGTTGGTCGCCTTCAACCCCGGCGGGGGCAGACAGGGACAAGGGGAGGGCGAAGGTATCCTCTAGGAGGGAATTGGCTGCCTTTGCGGATGAGGGGGAAGGAGGGGGTCTGTTCCAGGTTGGGGCCGAGGTGGGTTCCTCGGCGGTGGCAGCATGGGACAGGGTTCGTGGGCAGGGGGAATTTTTTCTGCGCAGTGACTCTTGGAAGCTTCTTAGACAAAATATGTTATATTAAGCTTTCCGGGGTTCTGAAAGCTAGAGCAGCATCTGGTCTTCTTCATTATTAGGATATTCGATTTCAGAGATGGTTATACCTGGACTGACACCGGCAGAGTTGCTCTTTTCTGTGCCCTAAGTCTGCCGATGCCAGAACGACGCTGGCCGGAGCTGGGGTGTTACCCTGTAACCTGCAACGGCAGGAGTGTGAAGCCTTGTAGAGAGATCTGGGGTTTGCCGAGGGAGGACGGAAGGTAAGCCAGTGGCGAATTGCGGGGGACCGCCTTGACACCCTATGGGGTCGGGGATAGTCTTGGTGGTGAGAAGAGGTCAGCTATGGATGATGTTGGTCTGGTCAGTACTGTCTTTGAGTAGTAATGTCCCGGTAAAGGGAGGGCTAGGAGTTGCTCTATGTTTAGGAAGCTGGAATGGCTGATATAGCATAGTATTCAATTTTTTAGTTCTTCATTTAAAAAAAGATTCTTAGCCGAAGCCCATAGTATTCAATTTTTTAGTTCTTCATCAAAAAAAGATTCTTAGCCGAAGCCAGGTAATGGCCCCGGCACCTCATATGTTGTGTAATAATTCATGCGGGACGCTGGACCCGGTTTCCAGCACGTGCTGCTCCCCACGAATAGATTGGAGCAAATTGTCCCCAAAAAAAAAAAAAAAAAAAAAAAAAAAAAAAAAAAACACGAAACAAACAAACAAACAAACACCACTGGGGCAAGGTCCCTCTTTTTTTCTTTTTTCTTTTTGTGAAACATCCCTTGCGGGTGCTCGAGGTGTTGGTAAGAGCAATCACCGCTAGCCCCCAAGGGAGGCTCCATCTATTGGTGGGGAGCATCACTTGCAGGAAAGCGGGTCCAGCGTCACACATACAACCAGGTCTGCGATCGCCTGAGAAGAGTAGCAGTGAGGCCTGGGCAAGGTCCTATTTGCACCGATTAAGAGATATTCTGGCCGTTGATCTGCGATATCTACTGTGGCCTCTATCTCTTAATCTGTGGAAGTGAGACCTTAGCTAGCCTCTTGCAGGCCTCTTTTTATTTATCATTATAGATTACGGGGAACCCCTTAGCAACCATATCCCGCATTCGAGCCGCCAACGAGGTAACATACGGGGGCTGCACACAACCTGCAGGTGGGTGATACCTACCAGGGGGGTCAGCCGGTAGCATAAAAACCGAGCTTCTTACATGGGCCAATTGCTGTGCCGCCCCTCCAGTCCCCTTCCCCTACGAACATCAGCAGTCACTGCTCAATGCCACTCGGGGGTTGGAGACAAGGTGGAGGGTGCCAAGCCTGCGAGGAAGGTACATGAGGCCCATGTGGATTGAACCCGAGTCCTCCTGAATGCCACTTTGCGTGCCTTACCAACTGAGATAGGCTGCTGCATTGTCCTCAATGTTTGCTTCCTTTCTCTTTCCTTGCGGAAAAAAATACTTTTTTTTTTTTTTTTTTTTTTTTTTTGACATTTGAGTGGCGACATTGAGCCACAAAAAGGATGGTCTCGGGCCCAGGAGCCACGGTGACAGAACTATGCCTCCTCGTCTGCTTCTACTCACCAAGGTGGAATTCAGACCCCAGGTGGAGAAGAACCGTCTGTATCTACTTCTTTTCGAAGCTTTTTTAGCCTGCCTCTGCCAGTCTGTGACGCTCAACCTCACGCCCTGCGTTGCCTTCCAGTCGGAATGTTTTGGTTTGCGGAAAGGGGCCCGGGAAAGGCAACAAAGATGGGGTGTGCCAAGGATTTTTGGAAAATTGAGTGCGGGGACACAAACAGAACTGAAATCCCCCGTGTTTGTCCGATTGTAGCAAGAAGCAGGTCCGTCGCCGCGCCTATGGGAAATTCAATCCAAAAAGTATCGCTGAACTTCCCAGCCAGCCGTCGCTCTACGTTTCGAGTGAAAAGGGGCAGGTGCACACGTCGAATCCCGTTTGCGGATGAGGTCCCGTCGGCGTTCGCTACACAACTCCGAATCCGACGTGGAGGGCCTCAATCGAGTGCCTCTCTCCTTATGATCGTCCTTGCCACGTGTGTGGTAGTGGAAGCCCTTGGCGCAGTAACGCTCAAAAGGGACGACAATCGCTGCACAGAGTGCTCGGCCAATGAGGTTCCACGGTCGTCCACGGGATGATGATCAGCTCGTTAAATGGTAACAACAACGAATAACTTAAAGGCGGAAAGTGCGTATCGACAATGACAAATCCCGCGTCGACGAATCCAGAGCACCGGGTTTCTGGGGGAAAGTAGTAATGCCCACCTATCTGAGGGACGGCTTCTCGTACGTCCCACTCGCATACACGTGTCATGTCCTCGTTATACGGGAAGGGTCGCGGGGGGAGTTCGAGAAGTCGGCGATCGATC